GGGGGGTCAGCCCCATCATTTGTACAATTTTGAATCTCCACCACCTAGGGATGCTTCCAGTCAAATATGGTTGATATCCATCTCTTAGTTCCAGAGAAGAAGTCACTTAAAGCAATATAGCCAAATTGCCCACTTTTTGCCCTGCCCCTCAGCCCCCTGAGGGGTCAGCCCCATCATTTGTACAAGTTTGAATCCCCACCACCTAGAGATACTTCCAATTAAATATGGTTGATATCCATCTCTTAGTTCCAGAGAAGAAGTCTCTTGAAGCAGTATAGCCAAATTGCCCCCTTTTTGCCCCGCCACTCAGCCCCCTGGGGGGTCAGCCGCATCATTTGTACAATTTTGAATCCCCACCGCCCAGGGATGCCCCCAGTCAAATATGGTTGATATCCACTTTTTAGTTCCAGAGGAGAAGTCGCTTAAAGCAATATAGCCAAATTGACCCCTTTTGGCCCCGCCCCTCAGCCCCCTGGGGGTCAGCCCTATCATTTGTACAATTTTGAATCCCCACCACCCAGGGATGCCCCCAGTCAAATATGGTTGATATCCACTTTTTAGTTCCAGAGGAGAAGTCGCTTAAAGCAATATAGCCAAATTGACCCCTTTTGGCCCCGCCCCTCAGCCCCCGCGGGGGTCAGCCCCATCATTTGCACAATTTTGAATCCCCACACCCTAGGGATGCTTCCAGTCAAATTTAGTTGAATTCCAATCAGTGGTTAAGAAGAAGAAGTCGTTCAAAGAAATTGTTGACGTACAGACCTATGGACCTACGGACAGACGGACGGACGACAGTACGACGGTATGGCATAAGCTCACCTTGGTCCTTCGGACCAGGTGAGCTAACAAGAAACGAATAATTAATATTGACAAGGAAATAGCTTTGAAATTGAAAGAGTTACCTCCCATTAACTGCCCTTTATAGTTCAATATGGGTTTCGTAGGCGGTTGAGGCGATACCGATTTTTGGGGCGATGTAGCTTTTGGGGCGAAACGGATTTTGGGGCATACAGAAATTTTGGGGCGATATGGTTGTCATACTTGGGGCGAACTGAACTGAAAATTGGGGCGATGTGAAAATTTGTTGGGGGCGAAACGTCTGTAATTCCTCCATATACTTAAGGACAAATGTAAGACAAGTTATATATTTCCATGTGTATAATGTATATGAGCTCATCATGAAACATCACTGTGGAATGTTGAGCAGGAAGCTAAGGTGGGGCTGATTATAGCACCATAAACACTATATATTTCCATGGACTTAAGATCTAATTCCGTGATATTTCATGTACAAAATTGAACTGATCGGAAAGAGGGAACGTTACTTCAGGATTTGTAACAGGCCAGAGCTATGGTGGTCTGGAGTTGTGATAGGGTTTCGAGCTTCCACTAGACCCTTCTGACGTTATCCCTCAAAATATTAAAGTAAAAGTTGACAAACCGGCCTGTCGACACACAGGTATTGTCTGTAAACTCACCTATAACCATACAATTATAGTATATGTGTATTGAAAGGCAAATATAGTAGCTATAAGCTGTGGCACGCATACATGAGGCTTTTAATTGTTTCCTCATTACAAGAGGAAAACCGGCCCGAGGAAAACTTCTTAGACGGAAAATGAGTTGGTCTAGGATGTCTCTAAAGTTATTGTTTGAAAAAACCTGTCAAATAATCATACCTGTCGTCGCCTTGGACCATACACTAGAAGTCGTCGGAAAATACACCACAAAGAGATTTTCAATTTATCCGCACACACACATATTATGATATTACATAAACACCCAATTGCTATAAATAACTCCTTCGACACAAATCTATTTTCGGTTTGTATCGTGTTACCAATCGGCCATTTCCGTAACCGAAAAGTTTTTTTCGTAGAAACGAGAAAAGACCGAGGAGTATCCAAATGTACCCATTTTCAAAATGCATCTGTTGTGTTCAAATATTAAGCTACCTACATTTTTTTTAATATAAGTTAAAAAGCCGCTTCG